CACCCCGTCGGCTCTGCACCCCGTCGACCCCTCCCCCTAATGTACCTACAAAATACCCCCCAATACCCCACCCCACAAACCGCTCCGCCCCCGCACCCACACCCCTTTCGCCCACCTACCCCACCCCACCACCTCCCATCCCCCAACACTCCGAAATTGAAACCACTCCCTGGAGTTCAATGTTGTTGTGTGGTTTATATTTTGTGATATCGGGAGTTTTGATTGTCTCCGACGATGCTATGCACCCACGCATTGGCATTTGTTTGGGTCACGTGTGGTGCAATTTGGTATGGTACGGGGTGGTCGAGGAGGGCTTTGGAGGGATAATTCAACAAGGGTTCTTTGGTTTTCTGAGATGTTGCACTCAGGTGTTGTGAAAGAGCAGGAACACACAAACACACAGACACACACATACGTCTATCCAATTGTCACTCCATTCATGTTCTCAAATGCAAGTTCATACATTGGCTTATCAAACATATTAAATGACAACAGTTGAAGCGAGGAAAACGTGGAACAACATAAAACGGCACATGCAACACTCATCATCCATAAAACAGGAACACCACAAATATTGAGATATTATGGAAATCGAAACACAAATCATTGTAGTATGGAAAATAGCAAAATACATCTGACACATGGAGTCAAACACTCGCCCTACTGCCTACCTCTAAGTATCAAACGAAACCAAGTGCCGTCTTCAAAAAATTCTGAAACACTATGCTAGTGATGGAGAACCGCAAACTAAACTACAAAAGGAAAGACAAAAAAAAAACGCAAATCGGTGTTACATGGACCATATCAAAATACATGTGACATGTAATGTCAAAGACCCGTCCTATTGCCTACCTCTACACATCGAAAAAAAACAAGTGTGAACAGTGAATTGCACAAAATCACTGAGCGCTATGCCGGTCATGGAGAAAAAAAAACTAAACTACAAAAAAAGAAAGAAAAGAAACGAAAGTTTGTAGACCGTCAAGGATCCTCATCTGCAGGCGAACGCTGCCCAGACCGATGCAAAACTCGTTCATGTGTCCGACCTGTGCCACGTGGTCGACCTCTCTAGCGTTGCTCGCCGCGACCAGCAGTGGAAGGCCTGAAGGTCGTCGGGCGTCGGGGCCAAACACGTGTGTGAGTATGTGAATCATATTTTGTTTCCTAGTTGAATGACTGTTGTTTATCTGTTACTAGATGGAGATCATGTATATATGCGTCACAAACTGACTGAGAGGCGGAATGAGTGAATGGGATTTCGAAAATTCCATTGAGGTACTTGTGATCATATCTGCCATATAAGAAATGTTACTCTTACCTATACGCCTTACCTTGATCTCTCGTGGTTAACTTTCTTTTCACATTTCATTTTGCATAGCGTCTTGACTTCTCACTGCTTATTTTGACGTAAGTCAAACACTAAATGATTACGAGTACGTCTCTGAAAAAAAAATACTCAAGGGCTCATTTGTCTGGTTAAACTTTTATGTTGGAACAACAATTTCATCAATACAGATATTCTATATTTTTTTAGCGAAACTGATTGGAAATTCGAGGTTTTGGGTATGGGCAGAGTCTGGTAGACACTTAAGGGGTAAGGGGTTGGGGGGTAAGGAATAAGGGGTAAAGCGCAAGGAGTGCATGGGACGAGGGTTAAGGGATAAAGGGTGAACGGTATGAACTCTGGAGTAAGGGGTGAAGGGTAAAAAGTATTGTTTGTCACACATTGTACTATATTTTACTTACTAACAATTTCATTTAACCTACAAATGTCAAGCATGTGACCATAATATCCAGCAAC